AAAAAAATCAAAACATTTGATTTTATTCAATACTTGTCCTTGTTTAATACTTCCCCCTTTTTTGAAATTCGCATTTAGCTAAAACTTTGCAAAAAACACAAAGTCCAGCGTTCTTTGGGGGACTCTACTGTTGTGCCTGCAATAGCCCAAATTAATCTGATCGATGTCGTGACAATATCGCCAGGGGAGAGGGAAGAGAACTATGCACCGAAAACGGCTAGAGGTAATTCTTCAGGACAGCAAGACAGATGAGCGCTTAACTGAACACAGAAGTCTCTTCTGAGCTGAGAGCTTCAGTCTTGCTGCGCTGAGCTGCAAAATCTGGGAAGAAATAACAAAATAACTAAAAAGGGAACTACCCTAGGAAGAGGTTTGATATTTAACATGCACAAGAATCAATCCTAAAAACTTTTTGATAATGGAGCAAAAGCTGCGTCCTTTCTCACTGTGGACCTGGCTGTCTCTGCTCCTTTCAAAAGCCGGAGATGTTAGAGGTTCCCTTTCCATAACATATTAATTTCCACTCAAGCACGGTCGGGTGATTCAGAGAAATAAAGCAGAAATAGAGAAAAGCAGTGCAGCATTTTTAAAGCCCTCTCCCCTCCCTACTTTGGCCAGAATTTCAAAAGACTTTGGTACACTGGGAGTTTAAATCTGGCTTCTCGACCATGCACTGAGCACTCCAGAAACTCAATTTTGCAGCTGGAAAACAAAAATCCAAGCTCCTTTACCTACAAAAGTCATTGGAAAGCTACCCATGGACTTAGATAGGCTCAGAATGGGGTCCTCAAGGAGCTCTGCTGCAAAAGGGACACACTAATGGCCTGTGGAGGAGGCAAGAGTAACATAAACGGTTTCTGGTAATTTATTTCAATTGCTCAATTTCTTCAGCACTAAGAACAACCACGGCCAGGCAAATGCACCGACCCAGGGCACAGGAATATATCCTGGCCTCACACTGCCCTCCGCTCCCTCTCTTCTTCAAGCACCTGCTCGAAACGGGGGGCTCTGCAGCCCCTACGAGCAGGGGGACAAGCGGGATGGGAGCAAGGATCAGCTGTGCTGGGGACCTGGAAAACAAGCCTGGTACTCCGCTCCGGCAGCTTTGGGGAGCAGCGGGGCTGGGGTGCCTCAGCAAATTGGGGAAAGGGAGAGCGTACGGGCTCTGTCTGAGACCCCATGCGAGGAAGGACCACTCTGCCCCATGTTTTGGCTAGATCGGTCCCCAGCGGTAGGTCGTACCCGAGCGCATCGCAGATAATATGAGAAATAGGCACTTTCAAACACAGCTGTTAGCAGCATTTCAGCCAGAGGCCCTGCTCGCGTGTCTGGACCTGAACAAGGCTCGACTCCCTCCCGCCTCTCCCCTGGAGCTGGTGTTTCCCACACAGCCGCTGCCGCGGAGCGAGCAGGCAGAGCCACCGGCACCGGCAGCACCCTCAGCCTGGCCGGGGCTGAGGCGATCGGCTGGAGCCTTGGCCACGCAGGACGACGATAGCTGTCCAAATACGGACCGTGGATCCAAAACTCTTGGAAAATCCTGTGCACTAACAGACTGCTGCCCTCCGGCTGGGCTGCTCTCTCCAAAGCCGTCCCTGACCCCTGCAAGCAGCAGTTTCCCACCCAGCGTGGAACGGGGCCGACTTTTCCCCCCACCACAGCATTGCTCCTCCAGAGCCTGACCGCTATCCCTCGCCCACGGCAGCACCCGGCTCGCCCCGCAGCGCACCATCACACCGTTTCCCCTTGCAACTGAAGCCACAGGCTCTCCCCTCCTCCTTTTTCGGTGAAAACAGTTTTCACGGGGCCGGCGGTAAAATCCGCACGGCCTCTGGGAAGGGTCCCAGGAGTCGTTCGCGTTTACCCATGTTTGATTTGCGGCAATTTCCCCCGGGAGCGCTTCTCCCAGCAGGGCCAGTTCTGCTTTCACTTAGAGTGAGGTAAACTGGGACCGGCTCCTCCGAATGACTCCACTGGTGCAAATGAGATCAGAATCTGGCACCGCTCATCTTACTCAAAACAAGCATAACTGGAACCAGATAAAACCAGTTCTAGTACATAGTGGCCACCAGGATTATGATTTTTTTAACGCAGCACACACGCCGCGTAAGGCCATCCTGCAGTCAGAGATGGGAGTTGTCTCAAATGCCAACCGCGCTGGCTTTCGGCTCGCTCGGTCATTCATTACCAAACTTGCATAAAAAATCAAGCCCTGTCCTACGCAGCGGGGTTGCGCTTTGCGGGATCAGGTTCCCAGCTGCTGGAGCAAGAGAGGGAAAGA